TGCAGTATGGGACTGGAGGAAGGCTTCAGTCTCAACGCTTGGCGCCTGCGTTGAAGCAGGACTCCAGCGGCATAATGGGCAGATCTGGCTTGAGCACCTGCTGCCAGCAAAGTGCCGGCCCGTCGCTTGCCAACGTCTTCAGCAACACAATCTGTTGCACCTTGCCATCTGCCCTGCACGTTGACATGACGCGAGTGAAGTTCAAGAGGTAGATGCCATCCTGGGGCAGAGATGTCGCAGCAAGAGGGCTAGAGTGCAGCTTGAATGCTCGAGCTCATTACACGAAGGGTCGAGCCAGGATCAACTTGATGACTCTGCAGACGAGGCTCCATCGGTCCTACCATCGCACCTTCAGGCTTTGGATGCTAGCAAACAGTCCAAGACTTGCTGATGCTTGTGTCAATCCGGGCTTCGCAACACTGCCTTGACCTGCATTCCTGCCTGTTCCCGGTACAGCAGATTCCTTGCCTGATAGCACTGCCATCAGTGCAGCACGGTTCGGAGCGGTTTCAGGTCCAACCACCTGGACATACAGGGACCCTGTACACTGCAAACCTGAGCTCCACAGCCTAAGCCAGCCTGGCCCCCCACTTGCGGGAGGTTGCCTGCAAAGCACTCAGAGACATCTTCGCCAATTTTTGGCTCCCGCATGTGGTGTCTGGAGCTTCTCACATATGGCACAACGTATTTCCACCAGTTGCACTTGTGGACCGAGCGGCTGGAGTAAAAGCCTCAGCGCGGCAGACTGAGCTGAACTCATGAGGGGTCTAAACAGACAAAGACAGAGAGAGCTCTTGCTTCCAGGAGCCGTCCTTAAACGGGAGAATGCCAATCGCCCAGTAGAACATGGACCTCACATTCATGAAGAATGAATCGGTGAATCACCGAAACGTCAAAACTTGCTCAAGTAAGTCATTTTTGCTTCCCCCCGCGATACGACAGCTTGGTTTAGGATGTCAAGACTTCAAGACATCTGGATATAGCTTGTGGGCTGTTGAGCATGTTTAAGGACTCGCCCTAGCACTGATTAGGAGACTTGCGGTCAGCTAGGTGGGTCGCAATCAAGGAGGTGACTATGTGCAGGTCTGGTGCGTAGCTCCGATCGCCCATTGCTTGTCGCGCCCGATGTAATCGTCTGCCAAGCTCAGCCATATCTAGTTTTTGATCATAGAGCAATGCAATGCTGCATCCTGCCTGTTGCCCTTGCATTGGTTACGGCCGGATATGCCGAGGCAGATAGCACATCATATGCATACGGCATGCAGTACCTCAGCCACCAAAAGAGGGGGCGGCTCCTTTCTTTCAAGAAAAACTTCAACTACCTCGAGTAGCAGTTCTGGGGAATTGGGCTTCAGTCGGCTCAACTCAGTAACAGCAGGCCCAACATCGCAGCCAGCGGGTCGTAAGCCGGGCTGCTGCACCGTGCGACCGCTGCTCTCCGCTCCGGCAGCCATGCCATGGAGCCAAAGATCGCCCATGGAGATGTTGGTCTGGAGGGCCTACAAAGGACGAGGCTTTCAAACAGAGTGCCTGTGCCTGAATATCTTCCTCGCTATCCCTCGGTCTGCGTGAGACTTCCGGGGCACGGAAAGGCTCAGAGCCCAGGCTGGCAGCGGACCTCGACATTGTCGTACTCCTTGCCTGGGCAGTCGAAACACGATTTCCGTCAGCCGTCAGCTGCTTTGCACCTTGCAACGCAAGCCAGCTAAGGGTGCAGCACATCCAGTCCTGCTCGTACATGGCCAGTCCCCATCCTTCTTGCTGTGTAAAAAACCACCTCCCGCAAGCAAAGGACAGCTTAGAACGGACCGCATCCTAAACTGTAACTTCTCCGCAGATCGGCACACGAGCCTGAAGAAGGCTTCCGGATCCTCCGAAGCTGCAGAAACTCTTGCAGATTAGCCTTTGCGACTACCCATGTGGAACTCTTTGGAATCGCAGCCAGCTTTAACTTGACTCGCCAAAAAGTGCTGGTCCTCCGGGACCGCTGCCTTCGGAGATGCATACCACTTGAAGGGCTCATGCCTCAGCGGCATGAGTTGATGCGTGCAAGTGTTGAACCCTCTGCGGAGATGCTGACTTAACCTGTCTCAACGGCATCGAAGATGCTTCACATAATCCGAAGTGGGCGACCACTGACGGTTGTGCATCCTAGGCTGTCCATGGTTCAGCAATTCTCGATGTACTCGCGAAGGGACATAGTGGGTGCAAGGCTCGCCGAAAGCCTAGTTCGGAAAATTTTCCAGCCGAGAGACACCATTGGCACACCAAGCCTGAAGCTCAAGACAGCTCAAGCATAGAGATGATTTCACAAACCAGCAAACCTTTTGATTCCGAGCAGCTTGGACTGAATGTATGCCATACCGTGAGGGAACACAGAGGGCAGCGCAGTCCTGCAGGAGCCCATGATTCTGACGCAGCCTCTGGGAGCTCGGTCACTCTAGCCGTATCAGCGAGATGAGCGCATGCAGAGCACCTGCTCTTTGCTGCCGTGTGCGAAGCCCCGTGACATTCAGCGGTCACCCGACAAATTCCCTGAGCAGCATCACCTCAATGAGGCTCTAACCAGTTCACCACGGCGCCACCACCGCCACCGGGATCTACTTTGCCATCTTTGGGGTAGAACCAAGAATCGAACCTCGTGGTCTCTGAATCAGCGGATCTTGTCACACTCTCGCAATTATTCCAGCTTCTTCCAAGCATGGCCAAGGCTCTGCCAGTGCTTGAAAGGGATCCCCAGGGAGTCGTGATATTCCTTGACTTTGGGAAGGACCTCTTCGTACGTCTCATTGCCGCCAGTTGCATAGTGGTAGTACCCTCAGTCACTCAGTCTGCTCCACCGTTCTCGGCTCACATTGGGCACGAGGTTTATCGAATTCTGCTCTCGACACTCCTTAGACTCTGGCCACCATTATCAGTCCAAAATCCGATGCTCCCGACCACGTCGTCTCCTGCAAGTCTTCGCAGTGCTTCGTTTGCCGACAGCAGCCCACAAGTGTAAGAAGTGTGCGTCGTGCCAAGGCCAGAAGCTACAGCTCTAGACTTAGGTCTGCTTGCGCCAGGCCGCTGTACATGTCCGCTCTCTGCTTCCCGGTGAACTTCAGCATACGATCGCCCCATGCCATCATGCCTGCACTCAGGTGAGCCGATGCCAAACAGTTTGGAACGCACATTTTTGCCAAGACACCATCAAGGACACCGAAGCCGGCGGAGAGGATGAACATTTGCTTCCAGCCAGACGGGATGAAAGGAACTGTGCCCTTCCTTCGTGCCAGGAGATTGGCATGCGGAAATCTTCAGAATCTAGTCGGTGACTGCAGAAAAAATGAGCTCTGATTACAATCCATGTCTCACACCGGCTCCAACCAACTTGTCACCGGCCTCATTCTCTGGAAAACAACTTCTCTGAAACAGCTCGCATGGCTACGTCTCGTAGCCTGCTGTCGCCTCGAGGGCGTTTACTCAGAATGCTGTGGCACACTTCAACTGCCAGACTTATGTCCCAAGGTCGTTGCAGGCAAGGCTCGAACATGTGCTGCGCCTCTGGGACATCTTCAAATCAAAGCGCCTGTCTCTTTGAATTCGGCCTGCCTTGGGCGTTGTTAGTGGGGCGAAGACGGTCATGGGTCGAGCGCTGGCTGTGGCATTGTAGAGGACCAAGGGTGCTCCTCCCTGATGGGTCGGCGTGAAGTTGGCCAAATTGCCTTGCAAGCACGTGCAGGCACGTTCGTCCATGCATCAAAGAACTCGTTCTTCATGGCGTTTTGTGCCGCCCAGCTTCACTTTTGCATTTGGGGAAAGACTCCGTGGTAGGCAAAGCAATCAAGATCGCCAGCGTGGCCCTGGCTCTTGAAGCTCGGGAAAAGGGTCACCGGCGCCTGAGAGCTTGCAGTCGTCGTTTCAAGGGCTCTGGGATCAAGGGCTTCAGATCACCACAATCCAGTTCAGTGCATGGCTTCATTCTTTAATGCTGCTGCTTAGCTCGACGAGCAGCGGGATTCCGACTGGTGCACCGAGTGATACTGCTGTGAGAGGTCTAAGGAGGGCACCGCCAGTTTTGTTCCCCACGCCGCAGCATCCACGTGCACATCCTCGGGAAAAAGCTGCCTCGGTTGGAAATTCGAGTGCGAGCTTGCACTGGATCTCAGCCGGACTGCAGCCAGGATGCTCGAAAACGAGAAAGCTGGGGTCGTCATCATAAGCTCGAATTGATGCATGCCTCGAGGGCAGAGCCAGCGGCGGCCAGAGCACTGTTAAACCAAATTGTTAGTACAACTAGACCAAGTAGGATTTTGAAGCCTGATTACCGCACCGATTAATTCTGAGCTGATCTGATCTGAGCTGCATGATCGGGCGCTTCGTGTCAGAGCGTCCCCAGATCATCTGCTCGGATGTGTAGCCTCCAAAACGAGGCGAATCTACCATCGGGCACCACAGCCCCAAACCCCAGGCTACATGACCCTTGTGGAAGCTGGCAGAGTCGAAAGCAGGTAAAGACCCAAAAGAACTAAATAAATACTAAAGAACCGGAAAACCAGCACTAATTCCAAGGCAAATATGAGTCATCATTTATAATAATAATGATAATATATTATTAATATAGAAATATTACAGTATCAAAATTAATTGTTGCCTCCCAAGGCATCCCTGCCGGGTGTTCGGCTTCGCGAAAGAAGCTCGAGGCCAGATTGACTGGACCACCGGCCGACGCGCACCTGCCAAAGCAAAACGCAGGCGTAGGATATATTGTATTATATTGTATTATATTGAATTATATTGTATTATATCATATTATATTATATTATATTATA